TGTAAATGCTCACCTTATACACCTGTCTATTGTTTGGCTAGGAGCTCTGGTAGCATAGTGCCTAAGGCACTTTACTGTTAACCAGAAAGCTGGTGATTCAAACCCACCAGCTTCTCCTGGGAAGGAAGGTTGGGCAATCTACTTCTGTAGTGACACTGCCTTGGAAACCCAAGGAGGGGTAGCTAGGAGTCGGGTCCAACTCAATGGCAAATAACAACAATATTGTTTGGCTGGAAGCCATGGGAGTGAGTTCAATTCCAGGTCCGAAGGGTCAGTAGGGGCCATACTCTTGGGGGTTTCACCAGTCTCTTTCAAACTAGTAAGCCTAGTCTTTTTATAGTTTTCAGTTTTGTTTCACATTTTCTCCTACTTTATCCAGGATCTCCTATTCTGATCCCTTTCTGAGTGGTTGACAGTTACTTGTTTTTTAGAACTTGCAACAAAGAATACGCTTAAATTCCCTACAAGGGTGGGGAGATTATAACTGAAATAAACTTGGCTTCTAGTTTAAAATTAATTTGTGCATTCCAAAATCCTGGTTGTGTTTTTTCAACTTTAGCAGTATTTCTTGGTATTTGAAAAAACACTTAATTTTAACCCAAAGATGGTCTCAAATACTGAGTTACCTGGATTTCAGAATAGGCATTCCCCCCCCCCCGCCCCATAATTTCAGAGAAGCTGAATTATGTTCAAAGTGACTAAGTCTCTGAGATGCCAAAGCTGGACTGTTCAGCTCTTCGGATCTAGGCACTAGTATTTGTAGCCTAGAAAATATTCTTTGGATTTTGGATGTCTTCTGTAATTCTTGGACCCAGGACACAGAGACAACACTGTGGTCAAAAGTAGGCTGTAAATATCCATAAAAACCTCCCCCAAAACCAAGGAGTTCTGGTGGCATAGTGCCTAAGGGCATCTGACTGCTAACCAGAAGGCTAGTGGTTCAAACCTACCAGCCACTCCACAGAATGAAGACTGGGCAATCTATTTCTATAAAGATTTACCATCTTGGAAACCCAAAGGGGGTTGCTATGAGTTGGAATCGACTTGATGACAGTAAATTTATCTTAAATTTTTATGGAAGCAGACTGCCCCTCATTTTTCTCCTGGGGAGCAGCTAGTTTGTTGGAACCACTGACCTTTTGGTTAGCAGCCTAATACTTTGTCACTAGAGCTCCTCCACGTGGGTTAGATGGGTGAAAAATAGTATTTGCCTATTGTTGTTAGGTGCCGTTGAGTCAGCCCCAACTCATAGTGACCCCTCCTTGGGTTTCCGAGGCAGTATCACTACAGAAGTAGAATTGCCCAACCTTCCTTCCGAGGAGTGGCTGGTGGGTTTGAACCGCCAGCCTTCTGGTTAGCAGTCAAGTGCTTTAGCCCCTATGCTACCAGAGCTCCCTATTAGAAGTACTCTAATTCCTCTCGTCATGAGGACTCTGCCAACAAGGCTTTTGGGGCTCCAGGGCATACCTGCAAATAGGTGAGAGCCTGGAGCCCAGGTTAGAGGATTAAATTTAGGAGAAAGCTCCATCTAATGGCAAACCAATTTTCTGCATTAGGAAAGGAGATTCATATATATACTTTTTCACAATCTATTCAGTGTTATGGATTAGATCTGGCTATGAAGCTGATTGAAGGAGCTCTGGTGGTATAGTGAATAAGGCATTTGCCTGCTAACCAAAAGGCTGGCAGTTCAAACCCACCAGTTGCTCCATGGAAGGAAGATGAGGCAATCTACTTCCATAAAGATTTACAGTGCTAAAAATCCAATGGGGGTCACTATTAATCAGAAGAGACTCAATGGCAGTGTTTTTTTTTAAATTTTTATTTATTTATTTATTTTAAATGAAGCTATTTTCAAACAGAAAAAGATAGTATTGCACTGTTTAGATCACTGAGAAAAATAAGCAACAATATAAAACTGATCCTTAGTGTTTATAAATTATAAATCAAAAGAATGCCAAGGCAAAAGTGAAGATCAAGTAGAAAAGAGCAATTAGAAATTCATTAATTGAGACCCATTTTATAACTGTTAATTATAAGCTTTTATGTGTGTTATTAGAACTAATTAGCAAATCATAATGGGCTTACAAGTTCATTTTTAAATATATTTGATGTCGATCTAGAGTCAATTAGTATTTTCAATTACTTATAATTGAGGGAAAGTATTACTCAGGGATTAATGATTATATTTATATTTAAAAATAGAAATATAAACAATTACTGGGTCTGACTTGATGGCACATAACAATAACAACAAAACCAAAAAAACCAAACCCACTGCCACAGAGTCATATTTGATTCATAGCAACTCCCACTGTGTTTCTAAGGCTGTACATCTTTACAAAAGTAGATTGCCTCATCTTCCTTCCACAGAGTAGCTGGTGGGTTTGAACTGCTGACCTTCTGGTTAGCAGCCAAATGCCTTACCTATTACACCACCAGAGCTCCTTTACTGATTCATACATTTACTAATTTTCTTTCTGTTAGTACCTACATGTATCAGTCTTGTTTGATCTTAAAACAATACAGACATACCTATATCTGCTTATTAACAGGTAGTATCACATTTGTGTAATAATTTATAGTTTTTCAAAGCATTTTCATTCATATTATCTCTCACATATAGGCAGAGGTCATACTGTCTCCTCTGATTCTGACAACAATGTGAGATAGCCAGGGTAGATACTGTTCATATTTTATATATACAGGAAGGGAAGCTGAGAGAAGTTTACATAACTTGTTCAAGGTGAAACTCTGAATAAGATTTTGTTACTTGTCTTTCAGTGATGTTTTTTGCATGATGCTTCTCACTATGTTAGGCTGATAGTTGAAGCCACTATAAAGCTCATATGATTCTTTTAACAAGGCTGGTTGGAAGATCCCTCAATCAACAGACCAATCTAAAGGACAAGCATTTTCCCACATGATTTATTACCTCCATCCTACGTGAGCAATCTATTACTCAAGCATGAAACACATGGTTAGAAAACATTAAGCCATTATATTACTCAACAAGGACCCTCTTTCACACTTCTCCTATTAAAAAGAAATGTCAAGTAAGAAGAACCAACAAAACAAAACTCTAACTATGTGTTATCAAGTCAAAATGGGATATCATCTATCTGTTTCTTCACTGTGGTGAAGTATGTTGTCTGGGTTCCTTCCATCTGATTGTCAGATCTGAGGCAAAACTCCAGATCTAATTTCAGCCCTGGGGAAGCAAAGAGGACAAAACTCAAAAGTTCAGCTTTCTGGACAGTGTGGGTGATTCCATGAACTCTTTTCTGCCTTTGCGTCTGTTGGCCTGGAGACCTGGATATGATAGGGCTTCAGTTCTTCAGGAGGGATATAATCTGGGGCATTGCTCATGAGGTCATGTCCTCGGGAGGATTTTGGGAAGGCTATGACATCTCTGATACTTGCGGCTCCAGTGACAAGGCATATCAGCCTGTCTAACCCTGTGAGTAAAGTAAAAAGTTGACAAATGAGAAATTAATGTAGGTTGGGAATTACTTCACTTTTCTGTAAAAGTTTGTTGTTGTTGTTATTTGCCATCAAGTCGGACCCGACTCACAGCGACCCCTCCTTGGGTTTCCGAGGCAGTATCACTATGGAAGTAGATTGCCCAACCTTCCTTCCGAGGACTGGCTGGTGGATTTGAACCACCAGCCTTCTGGTTAGCAGTCAAGTGCCTTAGGCACTACGCTTCTGGAGCTCCTCTGTAAAAGTTTAGAGAACTTTTAAATAAGGAAAGTTTTATTAAACAAACAGAAGTTCCCTACTATTTTACAGAAGTTTTGTTTTTTGAGAGATGCTTCTATATTTCATTCCAGAAATACCAAGGACTAATACATTCTAGCAGGATTGATAGTTACAGCAATTTATGAGTCCTTATTAAGGGCTTGCTTAATAAGTGCCCAATAAAGGCTGAACAACAAAGCAAAAGGCAATCACTGTTATAGAGGGTCTACAATCAAACTGAGCTTCCTGGGATTTCTCACACTCTTCTTTGCTGATAAAACAAGTGAGGTGGGCAATGGCAGAAATCACATCACTGGCATATTTCTAATCTCACACTAGCTGTGCTTCTCAAACTCCCATGAATGTGTCTGTGAATTCTCAGAGAATGAACAAAATTGACTTAAGACAATTCAGTTTTGTTTTATTAAAAAACCAAATCTTTCATATGTAAATTATCAGGTGTTTTACCTTTATAACTGGTAAAATTTACTTTAAAAATATATCACTGAAATTAAAATTCAAACTTAAAGTTTTGTAGAACTCTTGGATCCTCCCCTAAACTGAGAGTCCAAATTTGAGACAGTGCTATGGAGTGAAATTTAGCTTAGAAACAAACAAGGTGCTTACCTAAGGCGATTCCTCCATGAGGGGGTGCTCCATAATCTAAAGCTTGGAGCAGATGGGAGAGCAATTTCACATCTTCCTGAAATTCCAAAAGACAATTCAGTTTAAACACATAGGGAGGGTTACTTACTAAGTTTAGGTGCTAAAAGGAACACAAAATTCAATTTAAGAAACCTTAAGAGGTTTTCATAAAATTAGGGAATAAGTCAAATACACAGATAATTATAACATGCAGAAAAATGGCTGGTGCTTAGTAAATGGTAGCTGTTATACTGATAATGTAAACAGAGTAAGATCAACCAAGGACATAGAGATGTGGGCTCAGAAAGGTAGGAAGAAAACCAAGAAACTGCCACGTCACAGGGACCAAGGAATGAGAACATTAAGTAAGAGGGCAACAGTGTCAACTTCTGCTGTGAGGTAGGAAAGTCTAAAGACCAAGAACCAGGCCACTGGATTTGGTGACCATGAGTAACTTTGGTGGGACAGTGCGTATAGAAATGTCTCAAGTGTGTCTGGAAATGGCTCTCCATCTAGGCTGTAGATCAGAATTAAGTGAGGGGCTTTTAAGGAAGGCGTCATACTAGAGCTTTTTATTTAATTGATCTGGGGTGAGTCCAATGCATGAGTTGTTTGTTTACACTTTCCAGGTGATTCTGTTTTAATGTGAATCAGAGCTATAGGGAAGAAGCAGAAGCAATGTATTCTCATTGGCTCTTTGGAGAAGTTTTTCAATAAAAGCAATAAAAAAGATAGCTTAAAAATTGATGATTGGAAGCGTTGACTTGGGGAGGAGAGAAATTAAGGGAGTTCACAAAGCTCTGAAAGCTAAAGGGGCCAGTCACCTCATGTTCTGAATTCTCCAAACCTCTTTCTAAAATAAAGGAGCTCTGGTAGCAGGAGCTCTGGTGGAATAGTGCCTAGGGCATCTGACTGCTAACCAGAAGGTTGGTGGTTCAAACCCACCAGCCACTCCTTGGAAGAGAGATTGGGCAATCTACTTCTGTAGAGATACCACTTCAGAAATCCAAGGAGGGGGTCTCTACGAGTCGAAATCGACTTGACAGCAGTGAGTTTGGTTTTGTTTTTTGGCCTGGTAGCATAGTGCATAAGGCACTTGACTGCTAACCGGAAGGTCAGTGGTTTAAAGTTCTTCTAGCCTACCTCTTATCTATTACTTAATCCAATGAAATGACCTTTTAGGATCAGAATCTGTTGAACGTCTTCCCTCCTGAAACCTGTGCTACCTTACCATAAAATCACCAACAAACTGCAAGTTCTTAGTCCAGCATTTGTATAGGCTCTCTTCCTTATCAAAATCCTGATTATCCCATTCTCTTATCATTAAAATTTATTCTCTACCTCCTAAAAAGGTAAAGTAGTATCTATTAAGTGATACCCTCTCTCTCTTTCTCAAGCATTATCATAACTTGCAGTCATTTTATTAGTATAGTGGTTTGGATCGGTGGCTTGAAAGCCACACGGCCTGGATTAGAGTTCTGGCTCTGTTTCTCTCTGCACTGTGTGACTTTGGGCAAGTTAATTCATCCACTTCAGTTTCTCATCTTTAAAATGAGCATAATGGTACCTACTGAATAAACTAACTGTGAGGAATAAGTGAGTTAATGTATAAAGTATGTAAATAGTACCTATAAGGTCAAAAAACATCAGTTATTATTTTCCTTTGTTAATTTATTATGTTTTACATTTTTATTGTGATTTGGGCAAAAGTTTACACAGCAAATTCATTTTCCATACAGCAGTTCATACCCATGTCGTCTCATAACATTGACTGCAATTCCCCACAATGAATCAGCTCTCTCAGCTATTATTTTCATTTAACTTACACTAAAGGTGAAAAGAGTTGGAAACGACTCGACGGCACTTAACAACAACAACAACAAAGGTAAAAAGATAACACTATATCTATAACACTATATCTAGCAAATCATCCATTCATACCACATGTTTCATAAAACTGAAAAATATTCTGGCAAATAAATCAGGCCAGGTTAGAAGATGATGTTACCTTTAGTATTGTTGCCAGGATGTAATGCTGTAGCTCTGCATTGTGAATTCGGATAGAACCACCTCCTATCTCATTGCCATTTAAAACTAAGTCATAGTGTTGGCTACGGACCTAGAAGAGTCACACAACATTTATGTTAGAAAATTTCTGTTTTTCTATTCTATGGGTTTAAGTCACTATTGCTACTTAGAGACAATGTATTAACTACTGGTTCAAACCCAACAATTTCTTCTAGGGCATACAGTACTGGGTAAGACTATGACATCTGAAGATCTTTACCTTTTATACATTTTTTTTATTCGGAAGTATAGATATGGTACCTTTTCAGGCGCAGTGTATAGGAGGTGGATGTCATTGGGGTGGGGAGCAGTAAAAGGGTGGTGGGCTGACTCCAGCTCTCTAGGATTTTCCTCCTTGGGAAGGAAGAGTGGGAAATCCACCACCCAAAGAAAAGAGAACAGAGCTGGGTCACGGAGCACCACTCCTCTTGCTTCTAGAAGGTCAGCACATTCTAGTCGTAATTTTCCCAATAAGGAACACTGCAAACAGAAGACATGAACACTGAATTAACTGCTGTGACAGAGTAGGCACCTGTGGTACACTGGATTACTTAATATGGCCCTTCTAACATAGGAGCTCTGGTGGCGTAGTGCCTACGGCATCTGACTGCTAACCAGAAGGCTGGAAGGAAGGATGGGCAATCAACTTCCATAGCAATACTGCCTTGGAAACCCAAGGAAGGGTCGCTAGGAGTTGGATCCGACTCGACGGCAGTTGACAGCAGTGAGTTTTAACCATGCATGGTATTGTTAACTCCCACTTAATGACCGTGTGGGACTATGCAAATAAGATGCTTTTGGCCCACCACAGTAATTGGAGAGCTTGCTAACAACAGTGTAGATAAGATGCATGAACTTCTGTGGGGGTGGGATCATGTAAATAATGTACATGGAACCCAAACCACAGGATTGCTCAGCTTTGCCATTCTGCTAGGCTTTAAAAGACAGTCAATCCCAGAGCAGAAGGTAACCTCATTACCATCAATAAAGAAAAGCTGGGAGTGGAACGTGTCCTTTGGACCCAGGGTCCTACGCTGAGAACCCCTTAGAAGGAGGCAGCTGTAACAATGAAGATGGCATGAGACATTGAGAAGCAGTGGCAGGAGAACCAGAGTGGTGAGAGAGAGCATGGTGGGCTTTCTTGCTACAGTGGGCATGCTGACCCATGGAATGAGAGAACAAAGAGCTTTTGGGCAGGAGTCTTCCTGGTGGAGTGGGCAACTTACTGGCAGAGCTAAAGGCTCTCTAACACTTGCCTGAGCATTGCAGAGGCCAAGCCCAAGTGGGGCCAAGGGCCCAGACCAAGAGAGGAGGCCTGTACTGAAGGGGCTGAGAGGAGACTTGCATGGGTAAGAGTTTCTGAGAGAACTGTCTTGCACTGAAGAAGGGAAGTTTTGCCTACATGCTCACTAACTCTGATCAAGAGTTGTAGACTGTTGATCCAGATCCTGCTATTTCTTTTATAAACCCCATAAGTGTGAGTATAAGGAGCTCTGGTGATGTAGTGCCTGAGGCATTTGATTGCTAACCAGAAGGTTGGCAGTTCAAACTCACCAGCCACTCTGCAGAAGGAATCCTGGGCAGTCTACTTCTGTAAAGATTTACCACCTCAGAAACCCAATGGGGGTCATTATGAGTTGGAATTGACTCGATGGCAGTGAGTTTTTTTTTTAAACTCTGAGTATGGTCTGTGAGTTCTCTATAGCTGTGCAATGACTTATTGAACCCAGCAGAGAAGCAGAGAGTGTTGTGGAGGGATGGCTAGTGTCTGAATTAGTAAAAAGGTTGGAGAAAGGAGGTATGTCTGACCTCTGCCTCATAGGAATCAGACTTGAGCTAATGCTGTTCTTGATGTTCTCTCCTCCTGTTGTGAAGTTAGATGAGAAAGTCAGCTGATGCTCTGACCATGCCACTTTTACAGCATGAAATGACACAAGATTGGACTATGAAGCCAGGCCATTTTCTGATGAAGGATTAGCTGAAAATAGAGAAGCTCTTTCACTATCAGTAGACAAAGATCTGATGAGGATTTGACTACAACATGGTTGAGAATGACTGTCAGATTATCAGACTGGACCAAGTGGCTGGGTATCTGATAACATAGTGATGAAGACTACAGATGTCAGAGCTTGGTAGACCTGGGTCTGCACCTCAGTTTGGCTATTTACTAACTTCTCTACAATTTTAGTAGGCCCTGTTATTTTTCCATAGTCAAATGGGGATAAAAATATCTATTCCAAAAGATTGTTGTGAGGATTAAACAAGGTAAGGTATGTGTCTTAGTTTTCTAGTGCTGCTATAACAGAAATACCATAGGCAAGTGACTTTAACAAACAGCAATTTATTTTCTCACAGTTTAGGAGGCTAGAAATCTGAATTCAAGGTGCTGTCAAGGAGCTCTGGTGGCATAGTGCCTAAGGCATTTGACTGCTAACCCGATTGCTGGTGGTTCAAACCCACCAGCCAATCCATGGAATGAAGACCAGGCAATCTACTTCCATAAAAATTTACTGCCTCAGAAACCAGTGGGGATTGCTATGAGTCAGAATCAACTCGTTGGCAATGGGTTTGGTGTTTGGTTTGGGTCTAGGGGAAGGTTTTCTCTCTTTCTTTTGGCTCTGGGGGAAGATTCTTGTCTCTTCAGCTTCTATTCCTTGCTTCCTTGTTGTTGTTGTTATTTCCCATCGAGTTGGACCCAACTCATAGAGACCCCTCCTTGGGTTTCTGAGGCGGTATCACTATGGAAGTGCATTGCCCAACCTTCCTTCCAAGGAGTGGCTGGTAGGTTTGAACTGCCAGCCTTCTGGTTAGCAGTCAAATGCCTTAGGCACTACGCTACCAGAGCTCCTGCCTTGCTTCTTTGGTGATCTCCATATGGTATGGCATCTATCTTCCCCCATCTCTGCTCACTTCTCTGTGCTAATCTGTTTTTGTATCACAAAGGTGGTTGGCTTAAAACACACCCTATACTGAAAAGGCCTCTTACAATAACAAAGAAAACCCATTCCTAAATGTGATTATAACCACAGATATAGGGGTTAAGATTTATAATGCATATTTTTTGGGTGACAGTTCAATCTATAACAGTATGTAAAATGCAGGATCTGACAAATTATATGAATGGCAGCTATGATTATCTTTTCACTGCTCCTGTAGGATCTGATGCATGTCTCACACACAATTAATGCTCAATAAATACTGGCTATCATTTTTAAAGTAGTATGGACTAAAGGTTAATGTAAGAGTATGAATTATGGAACCAGACTTTATAGGTTAGAAACCTGGCTCCTCCATTTCCTACCTGTGTGAATGTGAGCACATTTTTAACCTCTGTGCCTCAGTTTTTTTATCTTTAAAATGATAACTGTATCAGTACTTCTCTCACTGGGTTGGCATGAAGATCGAATTAGCTAATATGTACACAGTGTTTAGAACAGTGCTTAGTAAATGCCCCGAGAAAGGGCAGAAAAGAGAAACATGCCTGAAGACATGTATAGGATGTCCCTTTGTGGCCCATTCTATCTTACATTTAAATGTCCACACAAGGTACCTTTTCACTGTGACATTTAAAAAATGTTAATGTTATTTCTCATTAATAGTTTCTAGTTTTTTTTTTCAAGAAAAGCCCAGTAGAAATTAGGACCTTCTTGAGAAAGGAACACCAGCATTTTTGGTTCATACCAGGGGAACATTTAATAGTCAAATTAATATGCAGCAGGATTTTATGTAATACAAAATCTCAAGTTATTTTTTTTTTTTTAAGAAATGCATTCACAGTAAAAGAAAATGGAAAGGCATTTAGCTTTGGTGCTGAACTCTGAAAAACTTCCTTTGGAAGAAACAATGATAAATAAATACAGTACAGATAAAAATCAGAAGAATGACCTTGATAAAATACCAGTTAGGCACTATTACTATAAAGCAACTACGTAATACTAAAGAGCAAGAATGAACTTTTAACATGCAGTGTATTTTCAAATTTCATGTTTGACTTTTGTACCATACGTTGTGCCTAAGGCATCTGACTGCTAACCAGAAGGCTGGTGGTTCAAACCCACCAGCCACTTGGAAGAAAGACTGGGCAATCTACTTCTGTAGAGATACAGCCTTGGAAACCCAAGGAGGGGTCGCTATGAGTCAGAACCGACTCCACGGCAGTGAGTTTGGCTTTTTGTATATTTTACAATAATGTCAAAGTTAAATTCGGTCTTCTGCATGGTTGTTGTTGTTATGTGCCGTCGAGTCAGACCCGACTCATAGTGACCCCTCCTTGGGTTTCCGAGGCAGTATCACTACAGAAGTA